CACCCAGAGTGTCAGAATTTCCAGAGAAGGGGCCCAAATATTTGTTTAAAAAACAGTAAGTCCCTTCCTCCTGGGTGATTTTTTTTTTAATCGGAGAAATTTGGGGAAAGCTGTTCTGATGTTCTGGAGGGTGGGAAGGTAGGGGTGATGAGGGGCTTTCATTTCTAGCCCCCAACAGAGAATAGAACAGAATCTGCCATGAGGATCTCTCAAGGCCCACGGGACATTCAGTCCCAGGGTGTGATTGGCCAGGGTGTGACACAAAACCACATGCAGCAGAGACACGCAAAGAGAGAAAATCAGTCAGTGCTGCTGCCATTACTCTCCAGTGCCCACAGGCACACCCTTCCACACCCACTATCCCTGGTGACCGCACAGCACCCCGTCTCGACTTCTTTCTCTACACTGACCACTCTGTTCTAAGCCTCTGTCCCAAGATCCAGCCATATAACCCACCACGTCCTTGATATTTCCACCTGGAGAGCCTGTGCGTCTAGCACCCACTTGCCCCAAACAGGACCCCTCCCCACCCTGTGCCTCGCTCTGCTCCTGATCTCAATGGATGGTACCACGTGGCACCCAGACCACCCGGGTCAGCCAGCCCCATCTGATTTCTCTCTTCTCTCACCCCCACGAGGGATTCTGCTTTTTCAATAATCTATTAGGGTCTTTGCTCTTATTTGATACATCCGTCCTCCCTCCTAGCCTCATTATATCACCCACCCTGCCCTGATTAGGAAAAGAGCCTTCTGACTCACCTCCCTGCCTCCTAACCCAGTCTGTTCCAATCCTCTTTCCACACCACTGCCACCTACAGGGCACAACGGGACGCGGCAGGCTCCTGTTCAGCAGGTAACAGCTTCAGCAAGTTACCTAGCCTTCAAGGTGATGTAGGGCCTCCATAGTCTGTATACAGGCCCTTCACAGCACAGCTCCGACTTAACTTTCCAGCACAGCTTCTCAGTTTCCTTCTTCATTACCAATCACCACCACACACACACACGCACGCACACACACACACGCACGCACGCACACACACACACACACACACACACACACACACACGCATTTTGTCTGGATGAAGTAACTCCCCTTGCCTTGCTTTAGTGAAGAGTAGGAGGCTGGAACTGGGGAGTCCTGTCCTGGGACAAGGGTTAGGCAAAGCTTGGAATGGGCCTCACAGGGGCTTGAAGAAACTCCTCTTCGGGCAGGCCACTGCACAAGGTCTGGGATCCGGCCACTGTAGTCTGAGAAGAGTGCGCGCTGGCACACCTCTGCGCGCAGCGGGGCCGTCTGAGCACAAGCCCAGCTTCCCTGCGCGATGCACTCTCCCTGCGGTCTCCAAGGACTTCCCCAGGCCAGGGCAAGCCTCCCCTCGCCTCCCGGGGCTGAGCCTGGCGCACTCACCACCAATGCCTCCCGTGCCCAAGGCCACTGCCCATACATAGCTTCTGTGGGGGCTCTCGGGAGTGTGAGAGATGAAGAGCGAACACTTCGGGGCTCCCTGGGACTGCCGCTCCACAGAGGCTCCCCAGAGAGCTGACCCTGACTCCCACCCCAGGGGCTGCGCTCCGCTACTATTCTTCTGAGGCCAGTTCAGGAGAGGTGGGGGAGGAGGGGTGTGGCGGGGTGGAGAGGAGAAGAGGCGTGATGTGGCTGGAGGAGGACAGCTACTGGAACCGAGGCGCGGGCGCGCACCGGCAAGCACGGAGTCCCGGGTAGTTGCGCTCGCGCTCGGAACGCGCTCAGCAAGGGATCCAGAGCTGTGTCAGGGCTGCATCTCGCCTCCTGGCCGTCACTGGCCAATGGCGCTGTGGATGATGCCACAAAGGTGGAGAACTTAACCGACTCCTGAATCTGAGCTCCTTCCGCAGACACTTAGCTCTTCCTCCTTCCGTCCCCCGCAGGCCAACCCTTTCTCCTTGGGTCGCTAATCCTAGCTCTTTCTGTCCCTGCGTAAATGAGACAGTGTAGTGTGGTGGTTTGAAGGTGGGCTCTGTAAGGGTATAGACTTCGTTGGTTCCGACCACTTACTGATGGTGTGACCACCCAGAGCCTCAGTGTGATGTGAAAAACAAGATAAGATACTAGAAATCCTCCAGAGAATGTTTGTGTTTATTCTTATTAGTCAAAACAAGTGGAAGAGCCAATGAAGTTGGAGGAAATCCAGTTGAGATAGTGCCAGGACAGCCAGAGGAAGAAAGGGAAGGAAGATTGGAGGGCAGTGCAGGAGGCTGCTCAGAGATCAAGTAGTGTAAG